TTTTAGGGGGGAGGGGTGGTGGGAATTGTCAACTTACCTTTACCCATACATATTTCAGACTTAAAATGAAAGGCCAAAAATTGAATGTGAAACGCTAGTGTCGAACAGCCGTAATATATTACAATGTGTACGAAGGATTGAGAAAATCTTGAAATAAGTAAAACTTGAGATAAGAAAAAAAAATAGAGAGAAATGAGAAAAACGAAAACAAATGAAGTAGAAAAAAAGTATTTGTAACGTTTAAAAAAAAAAACAGAGAAAAAAAATTTGATGAAGAAAAAACTCTTAATTTTTAGAAAAGCTGAAGAAAAGTGACCACAACAAAGAGTGCGAGAAAAGACAGAAACTACCACACGGACAAGTACATATAAAATAAAGACAACAACATGTATTACTACATCACCCTCCCCCCTCCTTCCTCTTTCCCACCCACACCCGTCATCTTTCATCCTTTCATCCCCCCGCCACTCCCTCCCACCCGCCTCCCCCCCACCCCCACAGTATGAGCGAAGGCCTATACCAGTGTTCCCTGAAGTCCCTGTGTGACTGTGGTCTGGCCACTTCCGCTTCCGCCACCTCATTCCTGACGTCACTTGTGGACATGCACGGGCAGTGTGAAATGGGTGAGTTTGGTTGTGTTTGATCAAAGTAAAGTATCAGTCCACATATTTAACACTTCACGTGCACGGACAGGGTGAGATGGGTGAGTGGGTGCAGTGTTAGGTAAAAGTAAAGTGTCAGTCGACTTATTTAACTCTTCACGTGCAAGTGAGGTGGGTGAGTATGGTTGTGTTTGTAAAGGTAAAGTAACAGTCAACATACTGAACTCTTCACGTGCACGAGCAGTGTGAGATGGGTGAGTGGGGCAGTGTCTGTAAACGTTGTTGTTGTTCGTCCTTTGCGTATGAAGATGACCATGATTGTTGAAGGTGACCGTGGGTCCGGGGATGGCTGATTAGGCCTATCCGGGCTCGGAAGGTTCGCCCACACGGGTAGTCTGCTGTTTGGGTTTTGTTTTGTTGTTGTTGGGGGTTTTTTTGGGGGGGTTGTGTTTTTTGTTTGGCCTCAGCGATTCGCTTGGCTTGGTAAAAGTAAAGCGTCAGTAAACACTCTTAGATCTACCACCTCTTCACACATCACCGTCACCACAGGCTGCTGTACGCTTTTCCTGTAAGACAAAACTACTTGTACTATCTACAACATCACTCTGTTACTCTACCCCACCATCCCCTCACACCCCTGCCCCCCTCCCGCCCCCCACCCCCTCAAAAAAAGCTACAAACTAACATCGATGATCCTGGATGATATTGATAGGGATTCGTTCAATCCCTGTAAACGCTTGCATTGATAAAAACGTATTAAAGAGAACGAAAGGGCACGTTCTCAAAATTCCCATTTTCAAAGTCTATATTTCTGGAATTCCATATTTCCATATATATTCCTCATTACTAAACTCCACATTTCCCAATTTCCACATCCCCAAATCCCATATTTCCCAAATTCCACATTTCCTGAGTTTCACGATCCCAATTCCCACATTCTCCTACTTCCACATTTCCCAAATTTCATATTTTCCAACTCTCACATTCTCCAATTTGCACATTTCCCAAATCTCACATTTTTCAACTCTCACATTCTCCAACTTGCACATTTCCCAAATCCCACATTTCCCCAACTTCCACATTTCCCAAATCTCACATCCCCACATCCCACATTCCCCAATCCCACGTTTCCTAACATCCACATTTCCTAACATCCACATTCTCTAACTTCCACATTTCTCAAATCCCACATTTCCTAACATTCACATTTCCCACATTTCACTTTTCCCAAATTCCCACATTTCCCAATCTCACATTTCCTTACATCCACATTCCCCAAATCTCACATTCCCCAAATCTCATATTCCCCAAATCTCACATTCCCCAAATCCCACATTTCCCAAGTCTCACATTTCCTAACATCCACATTTCCTAAATCTCACATTCCCATGTCCCACATTCCCCAAATTCCAAATCCCACATTTCCCAAATCTCACATGTCCCCAATCTCACACGTCCCAAATCTCACATCTCCACCTTTCCCAGTGTCGGCCCTGGGTCCCAGCGATTGTAGCCAAGCAGGTGGAGGGGGCGGGGCAGGAAGCCCATCTGACTGTCTTCTTCCGCCGTGCGATGACGTCATGTCTGACGTCACTGGTAAGCCCGAATAACAAAGAATTACAAAGTCTCATCTGCTCAGTACCGAGTTTTGAGAAATTTGACGTCAACGAATTTGAGTTTCACATCATCATGTCAAGCTTTTTCGAATGCAGTTCTTTGAAACATGTTGATAACGACTCCAGAGCGGAAAGAACGTTATTGCTTTCTGACCTCATTGCCTCAGTAACTCAAAACGGCTAAAAATGTCCCATAGAACTTTGTAATTCTAAGGTAGCAAAATGTCTGCTGAAGCTTCTGTTTTTAGAGTTATTAGATTTTTTTTCTAT